ACGTGTACGCTACACGTTTTCGATCATATTGCGCATTCAACGCTTCGATCACTCGTATTAAATGCCATGACTTTTCATTCAAATACTACAAAACAAATATGAAATATTTACTTTGCCAGAGCACTGATTACAAGGTTAAAAAGTTACTTATTCAACAAATTTAATATCCATCCCTCTATACGTTTTCTCAATTCAAAATGATCATTTCTGACAATGATTTCCAAATACAAATTACCATTCAGTTCATTGAACCAAACATTCTCATTATTCAATTTGACCAATAAGATTGAAAACAGCCATGTACAAGGCGATTACAGCATAATGTCAAACTTGTTCTCAAAGAACATCTTGATGTGCTGATTCGATTGAAAGCGTTAAAGCAAAGCTGATCGAACCTTTAATGGTGGTGCAGTATCCAAACAAATTGCATGCAGTTGATTACTATCGCCCATTGTTACGGTGGCTAATTCATCGAAATCATTCGACTGGATCGCTTTGATCAATCTCAAATTGTTCAAATGAACGTCACACGATCAACTGCATTAACTTTAACATGGACATTCAATGCGAAAATATGCCTGTCTGCTTCAATTACTTTATGAAAGTGATTAAAAATGCAATGTGTAATGGATGCAATAGATGAAATAACCGTAACATGATGAGTTATAAAACCAAATCATACGAATACTGTCCCAACAAGGAACAAATCAGCGAATTACCTACGCATATCAAAAGGACGTGGAAAATTATTGCGATCGAATCACTACCTTGTGACCCGTTTCGGAACAATTTCTTCGACGCGATATTTTAATAATTGAGAAGTTTCAACGCTTCTCTGCATCCCCTTCGTACTGCCAATGTGTTTCGATTTACTGGATGTGACCAAAATAAGAGCACGCAACGAATTCCATTTATCTGCGGGTGCTATTGTCTGTTCATAAGTTCACGTTTTCATATTGATTCATCACTTTTCATATTGCATTAGTTCGGAGGGAAGAAAGAGTGAAGTGACTGATTATTATTATACAACATTATTAGAGCCATTATACAACATTATGACCATCTTGAGAAAGTAGACGAATCTTGTGAATATAAGAGACTTTAGGGATTTCGGAAACGACTTATTTGTTCAGTTTGACTGTAAAAAGCATGAATATTGCTGTAATTTTTCGAACTAGATTTAAAAGCAAAATGAAACTAATTCTACCTCGCACGTACAATCAGATCCATCCGAGCTTCGTCCTACCTTCCAATGAACGAAACCTTCATAAAGACTACGACACGCACTACCTGAGCCTATAATTAGCCATTGTTAGCAACAACACAGTTCTATTAAAATTGCCATTCGTTCAGACAAGTAACGACACCTCCATTGCAAAACTACTAACAATTTTATTTGCATTAAAACTGTGAAATACTTCAAACTCTTTGGAAAATCCCAAATGCAATACATTCCTTTGTTAAATACAATAAACTGATTACAAGATGACCTCTGTTAGATACATATAACTGGACTGAAGTGTGATACATCATAACACCAATACTCTCTTGTGCACGATTACTACTCTATGATTAAGCAGATTTTTTTGCAATTGTCGACACACATAACGATGATTTCCATATGATTATTAAAGAGGAATCTTGCAGAATCAACTAATTTCAAAATCTTATGCACTTTCTAAAACGAAATCTTATCGAAAGATGAACCTAATCTGGCGATTTGCAATACCAAATCGTTGCTAAGTTTGTAGAGATGACCAAAAGCAAATGCAATCGCAGCAAAACCAGCCGCCGATGATGCCAAACCAGCCTCTATTGGGAAATTTGTTTCGGACGAAATCTGAAACAATCGGAATACAACGAATGAATCCAATTAATCCATAATAAACACTGCAAATTAATGGTAATAAAAATGTGACACTTTTGGATTCCTCTGATACTGAATGATCGACCGGATTTGATATGTGCAAAATCTGAACGTCAATTAATAATCTCCAAAACGGACGTTGTCGAATGAAAACATTTATATGGAAATAATTTTTACCAAGTCAATTTTTCCACTTATTTTATGATTCAAAACAGTTCAGTAAGCTAACGATCAATACCACTATTGCAATTGTTTTTCCTCAGATATTTGACATTTGTTATTGCTATCGCAAACAGTTTCACTTCGGAATAAAGCAAACGAATGAATGAATAAAAGCTGAACAAACTTCAAACTTATGGAAACATCGTTTATCAGATTGCGTATCGCCATTACCTTTTATCGATCGTTTACGAATGATCCGTCTCACTTCCTGAAACTTCCTAAATCAATATTTCAATATATTGGAAACTGCCCGACTCGAAGAACTCTACTATCATCATTTTCAAATACAACAGCATCGAAAACTTTTCCTAAGTAAGAACTGAACATTTGAGCAATCCATTTAATATGATGGCAATAAAAATTTGGTTTTTCATGCTTGAAAAGCACCAAATTCAGGCGTAAATAAGGCAGATAAAGGGAGCCAATAGAAGATAATAAACGAAACGAACGGCGAAACATTTCGAGAATCGTTCATCTTTACTGAGATCAACCTTTTGGCCATTAATAGTGATGCTGTCCTCATCAATTGATGAAGCGATTCGAA